TGACATGACATCACCTTGTTATTTGGGCCGTGCCCCTTCAGAGATCAGTGGAGTTAACTTTTCCTACCGGCAGTTTTAAATCATCTCACACACTTTCTGTGTGGTGAGAGGTGTTGTGTGGATAGTATTAATCTACTGGGCTTCTTCCAGTGCCAGTGGTTTTTGTTTTTGAATAGGTTTCACAAAGTCAACAAGGGAGCTGGAAGTCTTGTGGAGGCAAAGTCTTTGCTGAAATTGGGATTAATAAAATTACATGATACAGGTGCAAACAGGCAATGGGAAATTCAATTGAATGTTGAAGGTCAAACAAATTTAAATACTTAAATTTTAACTTAAAACAAGAGCCAATGGAAACAGTCTAGGTGGTTTTAATTTGCATCAGGAAAAATTAGGATAAAATGTTTTGGAATAGATTATTTGAAACCTGTCAGCCCAACAACACTGTAGGGGCTGTACACAAAGTTAGTTGTTGTCAAGTTTGAATTTGGAATAATTTTGAAAGGAAGGAAGGTCAAGCATAATCTAGCAAGTTATATTTGAGAAAATTATATGTACTTCTTGTAAGAAAGACCATACAAGTGAAATTTGGTAATGCTTGACATCACCCAGTAGTAATATTTGTTTGTCTCTTTAAAAATGATTGCGAAAGCATGTTATTTTGCTTTATACTCTGGAAAATAAGGCTTCTGCAGTGTTCCTGAATCAGTTATAATGGTAACTAACAGGGCCACTTTTGGAAAAAGTGCATGGTAGCAGGGAAAAAAAATGTGACAGCATCAAATGGAAATGACTTACCTTGGCGGTAGTTAAATGGAATATATCCAATGAAATCAAAATGTAGATGGAATTAAATAATTAATAGTATTGTCTTGGAGATATGTGAGCCCAGAGATTTTTATTTTTAAGGAAACTGAATTGGCAGATTTGGCCACCATCTGGAGCACTCGACCAGGTGACAAGGATGCATGGGCACCCTCCAGCAACTTTCAATTTTTCAAAAAGAACCCCTGAAAGTCAAGAGCGCGTGGCATGATCTTGGGAAATGGAGGTAAGGGTGCAGTGATGGTTGTTACATCTGAAGAAACTACCATGCAGGAACACAGCGAAAATGCACTAAAGAATGGGCCTCAGATGTGTACATCTATTTGATAAAATGGTAAATGTGGCCTGGAAGAGCACAAAAACATATTTTAAATAATAAGGCACTGAAACCTAATCCATAGAGAAACTGACTTTTGGTATTGGTGAGAAGAAGGTAAAAGTTGCAGTTGGAGACAGAGAGGGAAAAGTGTTGAAGAAATATCCACAAGATGGGTAAAAATGAAGGAAGAGCTGGATAATCTTTTAAGTCCATTCACAGTCTGTTGCCTCTTAAGCATGATCTTAAACTTTATCATACGTACTATCAGTTTGCGATTATTGAACAAGTGTGTGCTTATGTGAGGCTTGGATTAAGGGTGGATATAGTGGTAAGATCAAAAATGATATCTTCAAAACTTACTATTGAGGATTAATCATTAAAGGTTAATTGGACATGTCAATGAGCAATTTTTAAAAAAGTGGAGAAGTAGGTAGCAGAAAGTTGGGAAAACACACATTATTGCCTAGGTCAATGACCATAACATATAGGCCAGCTTGGCACTTAAGGGTTTTCTTTAACTGACACAGACAATCGAAGGAAATTTTACCTTATGCTGCATTTGACATCACTCAAATCATGGCTTTCACAGGCAGACAACAAAATACCTCTGAGTCCTGGTAAGATGGGACTAGAATGCAAACAGTATGACTCTGATAAGGCAGCTCAGATGAAAACCATCTGATTTGAGATTTCTGATTTTTATATATAAAGAAAGGAAAAGCTTGATCCACCTGAGATGAGGCTTTTTAAAATAATTATAATTACACATTAGAGTAGACACATACACGTACAATAATAGAAGTTCAAAATTTGTCAGATATTGAGGAATTAAATTTCTGAAGGCAGCTAGCCTTGGATGCAGGGACACCCTTGAAGAAACTTATTTCTCCATCAGCAAGAAGATTATAACAACAAAAAGGTATAAACAAGATAAGCTCGTAAGAGTACCGAGAGACAAATAACATAGCAAGGGTGGGGCAGAAACTATTTTGAAACAGAGTCACTATGACCTTGAGAGAATAAACAACTGCCACTTCACAAGTCAGATAAATGGGAAGCTGTTCCTGAAACCGTTAGCTTTGTCACAGAATCATAGTATAAAGTTAAACATAGTTAAACCTAACAAGTAAGTTTATATTAGAGCTGATACTACAAATATTAAAACAATTGGTAGAAATTAACATCCTTTTTAATCTTCTGGACTAAGCTTAGCAATGGATATGAATTGCATGACTGAGTTTGAAAAGTCATTAGTAATAAGAAATTATATGATGCACCTGGCAAATGTCTAGGAGGGGACATAACAATCAGTTTTGAAGTGTGGTCCATAACCGTAAGAGTCCAAGGACAGGTGATAAGGGGTCTGACAAACGTTATGAGATGATCAGAGGACCTTAAAGTGGACCATGAAGTTGTCCATTATTGATAGTGTATTCACAGGATCGGATGTGTAGGTCAGAGAGGATGTGTCAAACACTGACGTTAATGTTGCATGTAACCATTGTAACGCAGAATGTATAAATATCTTGTACTTTACTTTTCCCAATAAAGTGTCACTCACCTATGATCTGAGCTGTAATTGAGGGACAACTGGGCCCAATGTGGAAGCCAGATCTGGAGTGGTCTCTGGCCTCTCCCAAATGTGCGGTAAAGGAGCTCCGAATAAAGAGCGACTTGTGCTACTGAGCACAGGACTCAGACTCCTCTTCAAAATCCTTCTCCAACACTTGGCATCACAAGTACACATCTAAATACTTCTTAAACATTGAACGTTTCTGCTTCTACCGCACTTATAGGGAGTGAGTTCCAGATTCCTACCACCTTATGGGTGAAAATGTTTTTCCTTGCATCCCCTCTCAAGCTTCTCTTCCTTCCCTTAAATCTCTGCCCCTTGTCATTGATCCATCCAGCAAATGGTAAAATCTCTACCTGTCAATACTATCTATGCCCCTCAATTTTATACATCTTTATCATGTACCCCTCAGTCTCCTCTGCTCCGAGAAAAACAACACCAGTCTATCAAATCTCTCTTCTTAACTAACATTTTCCAGGCCAGGCAACATCCAGGTAAATCTCCCCAGTGCCCTCTCCTGTGCAATTACAACCCTGACGCTCTCATCTAATGTGAATAGCAGAACTGCACACAATACACTAGCTGTAGCTTACCCATGTTTTACAAAGTTCCAACATGACCTCCCTGCTCTTTAACTCTTTGCCTCAGCTAATAAAGACAAGTATTTCATATACCTTCTTAAGCATTTTATCTATCTATCATGCTTCCTTAAGGAACTGGTGGACATGCACATCAAGGTCCCCGTGATCCTCCATGCTCCCAGGGTCCTACTCTTCATCATGTATTCCCCAGCCCTATTTGTCCCACCCAAGTGCATCACCTCACACTTATCCTGATTTAAATCCATATGCCAGTGAACAGCCCATCTGTATCCTGTAACCTAAGGCTATTCTCTTCACTGTTTACCACCTCACCAATTGCTTTTCCTGCAATCAACCCTCCTACATTGTCACTGGATCAAAATCCTGGAATACCCTCTCTAACAACAGCACATGGTCTGCAGCTGTTCAAGAAGGCAGCTCACTACCACCTTCTCAAGGGTTTCCAGGGATGGGCAATAACTGTGGGCCCAGCTAGCATGTGTACATTCCATGAATGAATATAAAAAAACTACTGAGAGGTATAGTCTATGAGCCTTGGCAAGATGTATGCATTGGGGCAGAATTAGAGTGAGCAGTATCTCCGAGTGGGTGAAGTGGGGAGTGAAGATGGTGGCAGTTACCCTTTTGGAGTGCAGAAGATCATTGACCCTCTTCCTGCACTGTTGGGCGTCTGGCTTTACTTGGGACAAAACACTGATCCAATTTACAATTTGTACTCAGGCTGCCTGGGTCTGGTGGCATGGTCATGTGTAGTGGTTTGCAGGCAAAAGGACTGCCTTCCTCACCACCTCACCATCCACTGGCACCTCCAAAGCCATATCCATGAAGCTGGGGGCAAGCTTTCCTTTCCTCTGGGCCATATCCTGAAAGTTGAGGCTTGAGAACCAGAGCGAGAGCGATGGCTCCTGGCTCACAGTTGGTGCCAGTTGCATGAATGGTAGAATTTCCCTGCAGTGGTGTGCAGTTCTGATTCTCTGGCTGTGTAGTTCCACAAGGAAGACACCCAAGAACCCAAATGCATAATTAATAAGAAAATACATTTCAAGCTGGCATTGCGAATGTCACTTGACAAAACACTTTAACTGAAAATAGTAGAATTATGTCTTGTGTATTGCAGAACTGACATTGCATATGATCTTGTGAGCAGAAGGCTAAGACAAACAATGTTAAAACAAATATTCAAAATCAAAAAAAAAGGAGAATTCATGACTATTCTAAAAGGGTTGACGCATCTTTGCTGTCACTAAATGTACAGAAATGACCTGGTTATCTGTCATTAGAAATGTCTAGACAATGGGGATTGGGAAGCAGATGGTGTTGAATGCAAACAAGCAGGTTACATAGCCATTTTAAATATAATTCTTATTCCCAATGGAAGGTCATTTTTACTTTTCTCATTTTCCTTGGTCATTTGATATAATCAGGAATATTCAATATTGGCCTTGAAATTAATCTACAATCAGTCACAGGGAAAGAAATTCCAGATGAACATAAATGTTTGTGTAGTGATAACTCAAGATATCATTTCAGGGCCATGGAGTTGACTGTAATTTTGTCTTTCCTGAACCATATCTACAAGGAAACATACTCAAACACAACAATTCGCATCTTTTATCAAGACAAACTAGCTCAACTGACAAATGCAGTGGCATTTCATTAGTAGTAGCAATTGAGTTTTACTTACTCCCAGAACTCAATAACGGGCATGGTGGCATTTTCTCCTTTTGTCCAATTGCCAGCTGAGGAATTCTTAGCAAATTCCACACAGTTATCTGTCAATCCATAAGTAAAAAATAGTTAGATACTAACAGGTTTTTTTTTCTGGGGATATCAAACCAACAAGTTAGAAAATCTATCTTGGAAGTACACTGGAAACCAGGTTCAGAGGAGGGTGTTTGTCTTCTCCAAAAAAATTGACTGTTCTTGCAGAATCTTCAAAATTGATTCATTGAATGGAAGGATTCTGATAGGCCTTTTTGCTGCAGCCAGTTCTCCCCCTCTTTAGCCATAGATTTTTGAGCAGTGAGCAGTGTTTTTTTGGAAATATTGTGAAACCTGCTATATTAGAACATCCTATCAGGAAGTTTTAGTGGAGGAAGCAGCACTAAAATTGACTATTTTAAAGTACTCAAGGTTACCTAAAGACAGGGGTTTCAGTGTGAATATCTCAAGTTTAATTTTCTTAAATGTTTTACCTGTCTTTAAAAAATCATTTACTTAAATGTTACCTTATATTCTAAGAAGTTAAAGTTATCATCTGGTCTTATGTGTGTGCACTACCAATTGGCCAATCTTCACAACTGCACTGTTTCTTTAAGTCCATCATTTTCTGTGATGACCAATTACAGTTTGGGAGTAACACACAGAATGCATTGAAAATTAGAACGTAGCAACCTAAGAAATAAGAGTAGGAGTAAGCAATTCAGCCCCTTGAGTTATTCCAGACCTACTCTGTTTCAAAATAAATGCGACTATATTTAAAATCTCCACAGCCTGACTTATCAAAAGCACAGTTCTCTATTCTGTAGTACCACTCTTTAAAAAGGTTAGAATGCATGCCAAAGACCCTAAATGTTTGCCTTTAGGGAAGCAATAAAATATTGCTGGATTGCACTTCAGTTGGACGTAATCCATTTTCAGTAAAACAGATCTCACCAAAAAATATAAAACCCTGGAAACATCATTCAGGCCATAGATACATTTGGACAGATTTGGGTTCTTTCCAACATCCATTGCTCATTTGGACATTTTCAGAATCACTTTTCTCTGAAAAGTTTCACCGTTAAAACATGACTTTATGTGACTAAAGGATTTTTAAAATGACTTAATCCAGCTGAGGGAAAATGCACCCTAGCATCTTTATCACTCAATCACTTCTCAATACCCCTCATTTTAGTTTTACAATGCCCCACTTGCAGCGATCCTTTCAGTACTAAATCCACCTCTGAGACAAACTGATTGCCCCTCAACTGGTACCTCAGAATTAACTCCAAACACTCTCCAAGTATCTAATTCACTTTGTTTTGCCTCTGTTGTTACATTATCCTCAGGTTTATTAGCAGTCACCAAAAATTCACAATGATGAAGAATTCTACTTTTAGTTCTGTTCTGACACAGTCTTGTGGTCTTTATTTTATTACTCAATAATTTATGCTGTGGAATCTACCTGCACTTTTTTTTTATCACAAAAGGCTATTATTGTACGATTTCCCTTTTGTCCTATTGCAGTTTGATTCTTTGCTTTATGATACTTTTGTCAAATAAACAGTCCATTTTCTGTCCGCTATCAATACATATACTATGTTTTCTTACTATTAACACTTTCACCCTATTCATGGACTGCACCTTTAACCACCATCTTGAACATTCAATCAATATTAAACTTGCCTGTAACCTCTACTATACTTCCTACATTGGCCACATTCCTCCCCTTACTAGACTCCTTTGAAATGTATGACGACCAAGAACCCATGTTAGATATGTGGCCTTTGGAGACAGTAGCATTGCCCCATGTGTCACAATTACTCACCATTTTTAATTCTTGATTTACTGTATTAAGACCCTCATCACAGAGCATATGAACACTGGAGGTACAAGATGCCACATTTACTTCTATCGGACATTCAGAGTTTGTGATTTAATAATTAATTGTGATTAATCATAACCTTGTTGAATTAGTTGATTTCCACATTTGATAAGTGTTCTTACCATTATTACAATTGCATAAGACTGTGAACAATAGGAACATGTCTAGGTCATTCAGCTCTTCAAGGCTGCTCTACCAATCAATGAGATTGCGGCTGATCTTCTCACTCAATGCCATTTTCCTGCATCAGCCCCAAATCCCTTGATGTTTTTAACTATGTAGAAATTAATTGATTTCAGTCTTGAACAGTCAGCTGAGCCTTCACATCCCTCAGGAGCTTTCTAAGGCCTTTCCATTCATTTAATGGGCTCGCTTTTAAAATAAACCAAATTGACAGAATTAAATTCTGCCTCAATGCAGTGAAATGCCTCAAAGTTCTCCAGATTTTGATCAAGACATCAGCTTTTATGAAAACATATTTCTTTTCATGTGAAGCATCCAAACGTGCAGAATAAAATATAATTAATTGTACTTGGTGAGCAGAAGGACTATCACAGCACAGAAAACAGTTTTACATTTTAACCAGAGACCAATAGATAGGGACAATACCCTTCAATTATCTGGAATTAAATATTTCAACGGACTGCCAATGAAAAGGAAGTTGTCAACTTGTGGGCTGGCTGATTAGTTAAAAATGTTCATAGCATATAATTGAAATTCTGTGAAAGGAATCATGTGAGGATATCAGCTGCAGCATTCATGATCGTGATGCCCATGTTTTCACACATCTCTTTGAACTCATTAGTGACAAATACCTATCCATCATCACTCCGAAACTTTGAAGGTGTCCCAAGTCAGGTCCGTCTCCTATTTTTTGGCAATTCTATCTAAGTATAATCCTTCAGTCCTAACTAAGTATTAGGTTTACAGAATGCAGAATAAAAATATTGCTGTCATTTTCCTATCCCTTTAGATCCACAGCAACCACTTATTCCAATAATGTATCAATGGAAACCTTACAAAAGAAATACTGTGTTCTCTGATTCTTTCCAGAGATTTCTCACTTCTCACTAAACTTTTCTATTAGCATCATTTTCTCTTTATTAATGACATCTGCACCTTTTAGCAGGATTTTCAACCCTTGTCACGTATGGAAAACAAACTTTTTATATAACTTTAAGATCGTTTTTTTCTCTCTCTAATTTACCTAATGCCTTTAGTACTGGTCTAAAGCTATGATGAGAAACATTAGGTTTAATTAAGGGGATACTACAATGTCCTGACTGGGTAAACAGATCTACTAATATCCAAAACACAGCTGTCGTTTTAAGTGTCATGTCAAATTTAATTTTATTTAGCCATGTTCAAAGAATGTAGAAGTATCTTATTAGAGACCACATCAGTACTTATAAAATAGGTTACTCTAGCTACTTTATGGAATTATAACCTGCCTTAATAGCCTCAAAGAATTGCAACCATCAAACCTAAAACACATTTACAGTCGTTAGCCTTGCATCAATCTTCACCACTTAGTGAATCAAGATTAAATTTTAATCAATCCAGTTCACATATTGTTGAAGTGCAGTCATTATCTAAAACTGAGCAGTTACATGATTCCACAACCAGCATATTCATCAGACTAATAAAACTCATAACCAGTATAATTTATTTGGATTCATCATTTTCAATCTCTTCCTCAATGCTTTACATCATGTATCATTTTGAGAACACTGTCTCTCTATACTTTGTTGCACAAAACTAGTTGGTATCTCAACTAAAACATTTACCTATCTTCCTGAGATTCACTTCCCATTATTGTTGCTCCAATGTTGCTGCAATAGCCAAATCTGTTAAATGTGCTTTCATTATCATTCTGCCAACTTTTGGCCTTTTCAATATGTCGACACTTCTTAATATTGGGCCACTTTATAATCTATTAATCATTGAATCTTCTAATCTTTGGACCACCATAGAGAATCTTATTCATTCCATGAAGGTTAAAGGAAACTATAATCTCCCCCGATTCATTTGTAAGGCAGACATCTGATCAAACAGGAGTCTTCCACTCTGAGAACTAAATGCAAGAGTATCAGGAGCCTGGAGAAAATCAACAGGTCTGGCAGCATCTGTGGAGAGAAAGCAGAGTTAATGTTTCGGGTTCAGTGACCCATCTTCAGAAGAAGGGTCATTGGACCTGAAACATTCCTCCAATCAAAGTATCTGATGTAATACTGGCTACTGGAAAACAAAAGCATCAGCTGATCACTTGATTCTTGGCTTTTGTTCGGAACCTGAACACCAGACATTGAGTAACGCTTCTACTAAGGCTCCAATTGAACAAACCATTGACATTCTGAAGTAGACATTCCACCGTCTTGACATGTTTAGAACGCCACCCTAAGAGTGTCACTCAGTACCTGCGTGCTGAATGCTCCACTACAGCATTCAAATAGGATAGAAATATCAATATGACTTGTGCCTCTATTTCATAAGATTAGGCATGTAGTGTCTAGAATGAGGGATCACAAATATAAGATCAAATTTGAACATTTCAGGATTAGTGCAATAATCTGGGGAACAGGAGTTCTATTCTGGAAATTTGTTCACTTTAATTCAATTTAGTACAACATCCAGAAATAAAATGCTCATATCACAATGTAGTTATTGAATTGTCATCGAAAAAAAAAGTCTGGTACTCTAAAGTCTTTTGTTGAAAGATGAAGCGATCTATAGCCCTTAACCGCTTGTGAAGCTAAACCAGATTGGGTAAAATCCCCTGATAATCTCTCTTCCTTAAATTCAAGCTATTTAGATCTCACAGGCATATTTCTGGGTCAAATGAGTTGAACCAGTTATCCCTGAAGAAAATAAAATCAGCAAAGGATATTAGCATCTTCCAAATTGCTTACTTTTAAAATGTTAATTAGCTGGACCCAAATATGGGAGATATCAATAGGGTCTGGGAAACTTTATTAAAAGGTATACGTCCCCATTCAAGGAATGCTTTGGGGAGCGATTTGTGAAGTTGGAAGCAGCAGATTACATAGGACAATTTAGTAACTTTTACAATGTTAGTAAAAACGTAATATGAAATATACTTAATCCCTTTTAAAAAGTGTATTCATTTCCTAAGACTATCAAAGAATGGAAAATGAAGTCTTACTCCTAATGTAGAATTGGAAAGTTCAATGTTACATCTTCAGAATATCCAAAATTCAGAGTAAAATGTGACTTTAAATTCCCTGGTCGGTAGCAAGATATTCCCTTATAAGAAAAAATACCCACAGCAAAAAACATAAAGACCAACACTTTTAAATTTCTAGTGTTTAGGCTTAAACTGCTCTTAATCTACCTTGTTCATGCCTTATAAATTTCATACCTTATCTTTCATTATCTCTCTGTGTAGGTTTGTTATCCATATGAGATTATATCAGTCAGTTATTCTCAAGTATTTAATTGCTGAAAAGTCCCTTATGATGAATCTGTGAAACTTTTGTCCAGTCTAACTCTTTATAGTGTTCTATAGTAAATGAACTATGACTTTGGTTTATTGTTTCATTATTGTGTTTAATTAAAGTCTTTTCTCTTTGAAAAAATGTCCATTATCATTCTTTTTAATTAACTAAAGTTAACATACCATCTGTCTTTTATTATGGATGATTTGTTCAGTTCTTGTGATTGATCACGCTTACTTGAATTGATATCAATTAACAAAACTTTGAGATGCCATTTTTAAATTTCCCTTTAAGCTGAACTTGTCACGTCCTATGCCTCAAGAGTTCCTCAGCAAGCTTTTTTTAAATGTAAGAAAACTACATCATGTGACCATTGGTGCTGGTCTGTTCCACTTGATTAATTTAGTTTAATAGAATGTGTGTAATAGCTTTTTTTTCTAGACTTGTTTTGGCCAAAAGGTGAAATTCTTTTTTATACAGATTTCAATGTAGCAGAGATGTTGGGATGGATTTTTAACTAAAAAGCATTTCCTTTCCTGAGTCTTCAAAAACAGAATCCGTGGAATCTTTTATTTAACTTTCACATGCATTGAATGAGTTATTTCCCAAGTGTAATGTATTAAATATATCTGAATTCTGCCCAATTCACTATATTATTTCTAAATTAAACCTATTTTCCTACATTTCCTTTCCAAGGAAACCTCTTGATCTTGCTTGGTCCGTGTCACCTGCCAAAACAAAATACATGATTTTCCCCTTATCTAGCTTATTAAAAATATCGTACTTGAGAAAAGGCAACTAGGAATGAGTAAAACCTTCCTACATCCCAAGAATGAATGTAAAATAATATAAATTTAATAGTAGAAAAAAATTCTTCTTAAGATCTGTGCTGTTTATACTGTTACCTGTGTTCCACTGTTGTCCACAGCGGGTCCACGGCAGCTCAGCAAAGAATGAATTGAAGAAGTAGAAGGTAGACCAGGTCAGAATAATGATGTAATAAATAACCTGATACAACTCAATGAGTATTGTCCCATAACCTATACCTGCCAAAGGAAAGAGAGAATGGAAGCACACTGAATGTGAGTTTGGTATAAAAGCGCAGATTACCAACTTAATAAAAACAGTCACTATCATGGGATAGATTTTAAACTACACTGAAGTAATAATTATCTCTATGGTATAATTTATATTATACTGGGAGAAAAGTAAAGAACAATACATTAGCACACTTGTAATAAGTCATATATTTGAAAAGTTGGAGGTGAGATGTGGGTTAGTAAAAATTTTGGGGGCAAGTTTGGATCAGGCAAACTTGGGGCTGCCTATGAATTGAAATGATTGTGCACTGCAGCTGATTGCTAGGTAGCATCGCACCTCAATAAAGGAATCGAAGTTTATGCAAATTGTTCACTGGCTACACATAACTCTAGCTGTTCAGCTGAGGCAAGCGCAACATCCAAACATAGTGAAATACCACTCATGTCTGTGACATGGAGTAAAGACTGTGCATTGTTCACTCTTACTGATACTGTCATGGACAGATGCAACTGAAACAGGCAGATTTGTAAGGATGAGGTCAGTTATGTGTTTCCCTCCTATTGGTTCCCTCACCACCTGCCTTAGACCCAGTCTAGCAGCTATGTCCTTTAGGATCCAACCAGCTCGATCAGTAGTACTGCTGCCGAGCCACTCTTGGTGATGGACATTGAAATCCCCCACCCAGAGTACGTTTTGTGCCCTTGCCATCCTCAGTGCTTCCTCTAAGTGTTGTTCAACATTGAGGAATACTGATTCATCCGTTGAGGGAGGACGGTACACAAAAAGCAGGACAAATCCAACCCAGCCAATTACCACCCCATCAGTCTCCTCTCAATCATCACTCAAGTGATAGAAGGTGTTAACAACAGTGCTATCAAGCAGCACCTGCTCAGCAATAACCTGCTCAGTGACACCCAGTTTGGGATCTGCCAGGGCCACTCAGCTCCTGACCTCATTACAGCCTTGGTTCAAACATGGACAACAGAGCTGAATTCCAGAGGTGAGGTGGAAGTGACAGCCCTTGATATCAAGGCAGCATTTGACCAAGTGTGGCATCAAGGAGCCCAAGCAAAACTGGGATCAATGGGTATCAGGGGACAAATGCTCCGATGGTTGGAGTCATATCTGACATATAGGAAGATGGTCGTGGTTGTGGGAGGTCAATCATCTCAGCTGCAGGACATCTCTGCAGGAGTTCCTCAGGGTAGTGTCCTCGACCCAACCATCTTCAGCTGCTTCATCAATGACCTTCCCTCCACTATAAGGTCAGAAGTGGGGATGTTTGCTGATGATTGCACAATGTTCAGTACCATTCGTGACTCCTCAGATATTGAAGCAGTCCATGTTCACATGCAACAAGATCTGGACTATATCCAGGCTTGGGCTGACAAGTAGCAAGTGACACTCGCGCCACACAAATGCCAGGCTATGACCATCACCAATAAGAGACAATCTAACCACCGCCCCTTGACATTCAATGGTGTTACCATCACTGAATCCCCCACTATCAACATCCTGGGGTTTACCATTGACCAGAAACTCAATTGGAGTCACCACATTAACAGATTGGCTACAAGAGCAGGCCAGAAGCTGGGAATACTGCAGCAAGTCACTCACCTCCCGACTTCTCAAAGCCTCTCCACCATCTACAAGGCACAAGTCAGGAGTGTGCTGGAATACTCCCCACTTGCCTGGATGAGTGCAGCCCCAACAACACTCAAGAAGCTTGACACCATCCAGGACAAAGCAGCCCGCTTGATTGGCATTACATCCACAAGCATTCACTCCCTCCACCACCGATGATCAGTAGCAGCAGTGTGTACTATCTACAAGATGCACTGCAGAAATTCACCAAAGATCCTCAGACAGCACCTTCCAAACCCCTGAACACTTCCATCTAGAAGGACAAGGGCAGCAGATATATGGGAACAACACCACCTCCAAGTTCCCCTCCAAGCCACTCACCATCCTGACTTGGAAATATATTGCCATTCCTTCACTGTTGCTTGGTCAAAATCCTGGAATTCCCTCCCTAATAGCATTGTGGGTCAACCAGCACCCGGTAGACTGCAGCGGTTCAAGGAGGCAGCTCACCACCACTTTCTCAAGTGCAACTAGGGGGCGGAAAATGCTGGCCAGCCAGCGACCCACATCCCACAAATGAATAGAGAAAAAAAATTGTCATTCCGACTTCTCTCTTGAAAGGCCTGGTGGAAAACAATAGAATACAGCAGAACAGAATTGACCAGGGGCAAGAATGCCGACATCTCCTAAACCACCTGCAATAAGGACAGTTGGTCATGATGCCACCAGACCATCAAAGATGACTACAGCATTTCACTTTATGCTCTTTTGCATGCTGAGCTTCTCAGCAATCTGACATGATTAACAGGCTGCGATGGTGTTAACAAAGTTCTCTTGCTTTCCAGGCTACTCCTTTTCCTCTTCTGACTGCTCAGACACGCAGGGAGTGCCATCTTCCCAGCCATGGACAGACCAAGGAAGAGGCAGACAGCAAAGTATTTATGAAAGGTTACCATCACTGATGTGATGCTTGCAGCCACCAGCTGGGATATTGGTACTGCACATACCATGGGTGCAAGTATGGAGTGGTTATCAGCACATGGTGAGTCAGCTGGTTGTGAACGGGCTGCAGTCAGGACAGGGAAAAGGATAGTTTGTGTACCAGATCACATATGAGCTCTGCTAAAGGAGAGTGCTGACAGATGTACAAACCAAAATGTATCAGCCTGAAGGTGAATGAGTGGACAACTTCATGACTCTGTCAAGGAGCATGGAGCAGTGCAGCTCCAAACTAGCAAAAGGCCTGGCCTCTGATCCATGTTCATGTTGAAATTCAGACCCAAAGGCACTGCCACCCCTATACCTTTTGTTGCTGTGGACAGGCTACCTATCCTTGAGCGATTGTAGCAACGTTCCACGGGAAATCCAACACATCATCTCCAAAGAAAAACTTCACAGTTTTTCCAGATTCTACACAACTGGGGACACCAGAATTTTAAAATAACAAGTGCAAGGCCAATCTTGGAGCAGAACATTGCCTGACCCTGTGTTGTATGCTGGCATTGTATTTCCAGGATAAGGTTAGTTCAAGGCCCTCTGACACACACCGTTGGATGTCCCGCATGCACCAATTTCCTCATTGAATGCAAAGCTGCTAATGGAGCAGGAGAGGTCAAAAAGGCTTCACCAAGCACTAGAATTTCTATGGCAGTAAAATTCGATGATAAGATTGGACAGAAGAAAGATAAACATGATGAACCATGAATATTAACTTTTGTCAAAAGAAGATAGTGGACTAAAGTGTCCAGCTTTTAAGAAATTGAAAGCTGCTGAATGATATATAATGATTAATATTTAGGAAGGCAGTAAAATAATTTGAGGCAGAGTTCTCTCCTTTGTACTTGGGTATAAGTAATCACCTGGTCAGAATACGTTGAGAAAAATTACAAGGGTGGTAATTGTTACACCCATATTTTGAGACTAAAGTGTGATTACTTATAACTTATGGAAACCAAATGACATAAAATGATGAGGTGGCTTACCATTGTCATTACTTTTTCCAATCGTTCATATCCTATTCCTTATCAATTCACACCGTTCCGGGAAAAGACACTGAGTAAATACCCATTGCTAATGCTGCCCTGTAAGAGTTATATCTTGAAGTGTAGCAGAATCTCATAAAGCTCTCTGCTACTGAAAGGATGCGTCTTGCTTTTGAGTAGTACATACTTCATCTTCTCAGCAAGATAGATAAATTACTGTTTGGGACAAACTGGGCGTGGCACAAAATCCTATCAATCTGTGGCAGCCCCTTAATATAACACCAACATTCTATACTGAGAGGCTAACTCAGATTCCACTGAGCTCTTTTGGTGCAGGCTGATTCCAAAAAGATATGTTTCATATTTTGGAGATCGTTGAACAGTTGTAGGGAAGTCAAATTACTTATGAGTTTGAATTCTAATGACAGTTCCATCAGTTTAACTTTCCTCCATTTCAGAAGTGATTAATGTAATTAACCATGAGATAACAAGGTCATTTTCTGAAGAAGGGTCTAGGCCCGAAACGTCAGCCTTCCTGCTCCTCTGATGCTGCTTGGCCTGCTGTGTTCATCCAGCTCTACACCTTGTTATCTCAGATTCTCCAGCATCTGCAGTTCCTACTATCTCTGAATGTAATTAACCTGTCAGGTTTATTGCTGGCATGGAATAAAATCACAAAACCAGGCATAAACTACAAGGAAGTGGACACCAAATTATTTTTAAGTTAATTCTAGTTACATTTAATAATTTCTGACTCCATTTACTTATCTATGAACCTCTCTTTATCTAACAACTTTGTAATTTAAATTGCTCGTTTCTTCCAATTGCTTTGAACTTTATTTATTCAACTTACCCTCAAAGAGGGGGCAGATCTTTCTCCAAGCTGTTATTCCACCTTGACTAGTATACTGTCCAAGGACAACTTCAAGGAAAAACACTGGAATTCCACAGGTAAAGAGGAATAAAAAATATGGAATGAGGAATGCACCTGGATGGAAGCAAAATGGTCAAAAGGATTAATTAAACTTATGCTTAATACAACCTGCCTTTAAGTAAATCATCCTATAGTTGTGCAAATTCACAGGATAGTACAAGCTGTGTTAATGTCATGACACATTGATAAATGAACTCTTTTTCAATTTTGACCCTAATATAGAACATGTGCCATTCATAATTTACATTCTCTTGAGATTCAAAGCATGCATCAAGGCTTTCATAATTACTGCCATCTTTTTTTCTGTTCTTCAGAGAATTATAGGATGCAAGACACTTTCAAAAGTCTCTCTTCAAATGATAAGAGTATATTTATTCTTAGCTGTACTGCTTTGTTTAGCATATCTGTAACAATTTTGTAATTTTGCCATTGCACGTGGAAAAGCTATATGTGCTCCTTCAACTGTCATCTACCACCTGTAATTTCTGTTGTATTGTGACATAGATTCCTGACCAAACCTACCTCTACCTTCAAGCTACATCAGCTGCTACTACTCAAAAAATTCATCATCAGCACGAGGTGGCCTGAACACTTCCAACAGGTCCCAGAGCTATTCTGTTCATTGTGGTCATTCAGAAATGAACTTGGATATGCCAAGAATAGATTCTTCAAAGGCAAACAGTTTTAACTCCACAAGCACTAAACAGATAGGTCAAGTGGGTGCAGAAAAAAACAAGAGATTGGCTGGAGAATCCATATATTGGCCTGGCATAAATAATGATGTCGAGGTGCTGGTGTTGGATTGGGGTGGACAAAGTCAGAAATCAGATGACACCAGGTTATAGTCCATCAGGTTTATTTGAAATTGCAAGCTTTCGGAACGTAGGCCCTTGGGGCATCTGATATCTGACTTTGGCATAAATAAGACATTGATCATTTAGTCAAGTCATGTGGAGCGTGTCATAAATAAGACATTGATCATTTAGTCAAGTCATGTGGAGCGTGTCAATTCCATCAACATCAACAATAGAGAGAACCTGTCATGATGCAGTGTCAAAACTGATATTTTCCATGTCCAAAGGCACGATTACATTCTGGTGACTGACTGACTGTTCCATCAAAATCCCTCATTTGTGTCAAATTAACAATTTCATTAATAGTTGTTAACACATCAACTGCCATATGGATTATGATTGTTAGATCTACAGAAACGGTTGTCTCCTATGCCCCATCCAAGACATTATCTGAATGTTTAGAGATAAAATATCTATATGAATCATTGCACAGTTTAATCTAGAAATTGGTTCCCACCCTTAAGAGAGGAAAGGAAGAATGTTGTATTGTGGCATAGATTCTAGGTCAGAAAGGCAGTTACATGACATCACAACATGTGACATTTCAGTATAGAAAGTGCCTACCTCACCTTCATTCACACTGTCCATGCAATGGAGTAAGCATATTGCCTTCTGTCAGTCAACGATGTGTATATAATTATAAAAACATCAGTAATCAGATAACTCAGAATTTGTGAACTTGCAGCCATACAAAGTGTTATTAATTAATTTCGAGACATCTGTCTCAACAAGAACCCGAATCTCTATGGTATATATTATGCCAACTAACATATAGGAAATGCTAAAGTTCAGAAATTTCAATTAGCACTCGCAGAAGTCACAACCATTTTATTTTACCTAGTGTTTAAGCTATAGTTAGCTTCTTTACTCTTTCTCAGTTGCCAGTTGTAACATTTACAATCTGAACATTCTTACATCCCTCTGACTGTAACAGTGCTTTTTGTTCAGCTTTTTCGACACACGTTCTGCCACCATATTAAAAACTCTCAAAACAACAGCCTCGCCTGTACGTTGACTTTATTGAAACAGGCTGCAAGATGGATGATGTCTCAATGTTATGGTCTCAAGGGAGAAGTCAAATGACAATGGAAAGCCAGGAAGATTGTTGGTACAGCATTGCATTTTATCCCAAACATATTTATACAAGAAATTGCTTTATTTGTTCTGGAATATCAGTGTTATTACATATTACCAATTCTGTTCAGAAAAATGTCTTTCCCACATAAAAAAGCATTCACCCTTGTTGGCTGTCATCTCAGCATGGATCAGAAAAACAAAATTCTAAAACTAAAGCTTCTAAAATAAGTCCCAGTACTGAACTGAAATCTGTCTTACGTTTGCTATACATTTGAAATGTTTTCAACTATCAAGGGCAATCAAGAAATAAATCAGTTTATTAAACCTGTTTACTGGCTTATTGAGTATTGGAACTTCCTCTTCACCAAGCAGAAATGGCAATAACTGGTAGAATTTTAATGATTACGTTGTTGATTGCCATTGTGTTATACAGAAAATGCACAACATGATTTTAATTCTGAATTGGATTTGCTTATCAAGAGAAAATCGGACAATAACTAAAAATAAAGGTATATTCTCTGCTTCAAATTTCAAAGGCTGGACATAATCACTTAGAGGCCTGCATGGGTGCCCTTTGATTTCTTTTAAAATTAAACAATAACCAGAAATATAGAGGAGCTAGGTATAATTGCTTAATAAGAGACCCCAATAGCTGCAACATATATATTTACAGATGGATTGTGTATTAGTCGCACTGTTAATTTTAGTCATTCATCAACATGCGCATCCATTGTGACATTACCAATTACAAATCATGTAAGAAAGTAGAAAAACATGCTGTGATTCAGCTTTGGCTGCGATTGCATCACATTGACTAAGATGGGTCAAAGGTGTTGAAGATTCACCTGCCTTGCAACATCGTGGTGTGACATGATAACTGGCATCAGAATTTGAAGGATTTTATGAGCTTCAGACTCAGGCTGAAATTCAGAGGAATTATTTACAATTCTGCAAATTAGTTACTATTTCTTTAATTCTGTGATAAGGTTGAACCTGACCTCTTGATGAGCATTTGTTTTGCTAGGGTCATCAGTAGACACTGAAGTATGATTCGTTTGGACTAGATTTTAAAAAATGTGAAATAACTCACAATCCTTCCATTGACGTCATAGTAAAACATGCTGAAAATATATTACCAATTGAAAGTGTTCCTTGCCAACATTCTGACAGCTATTAAAATTAAGTTAGCAATTCATTTTTAACAGTCGTAGGTATATTTATGATACAGAGCAGCAAACAAAAATTAAAAGTGACATTTTTCAACCCATAATCTGATGCAACTCATTTTGAACCTTCTTTATGTTTCAATGCATAAGTGAGTTGGGCTTAATTTGAGGCTTCAAAGCAATCTCCAAATCAATGGCTTCCAGCTCCCAGAGGCACAGCACAAACAAAAGTTGGGAAAGTTGGACATCTGAGCAAAAAGTAACAGCTTGACAAAAATGCAGACAGCAGATGCAATGCAATGTGGAAAACTGAGAGGTAACATACAATAGGCAGAAAAAAAGGGAATAGGAAGGTTCGCTTAAATTGTGGAATCTTGAAGAGTGTAGATCATCAGACTGAACTAGGAATTCATATATGTATCTGATTCTTTGAAAAAATAAATGCCAGTAGACAAAAGTATAAAAAGAACAATGACATTTTGAATCTTATGAATGATATTTATAGTGCAAGAATGAAGAAGCTATAATAAATTCGAAGAAGTTAGCGGTTATAGCCCACAGTCAGAATACTGAATGCCTCATTGTAAAAAGGGCATTTTCACCACAGAGAACATAAAGTATAGATTCATGAAGGTTAGCAGACATAGAAAACTAGTTATGAACATGGACATCAGATATTGAAATCCTTTCCACCAGAGCAGTGGGGCTTTGAAGAAGAGTAGCAAGAAAGATAACATCTGTTATTATCTGGGCTGCGCAGACAAGAAGTCATCAATTTAAAATCATTGCTGAAAGTGAGGAGAAATATCGGTATGTAATTTGTTGTTGGAGTATGGAATGTCTTGCTGCAGGGTATACTTATTGTATCTTGTAAGGGATAAATATATGAAAAAGAGGAAGATAATGATTAATGGAGGGCACATAAAAGAATTAATTTAAATTTCACCAGCAAAACACTGGTACAGAGTCAATGACCTGCTTCTGTGCTGTATATCTCAATGGCTGCCAGCACTTAAATCAATTGACTTTCTTGCCACACTTTTATGTTTCTGCCTCCATCCGTAATGTTACTAGGAATACACATGAAACAATACTGAGACAGAGACCAGGATTCACATTCGAATGTTTTCAAACAGGCACCAGTGAGTCTTCTGATGGTGGAAACCAGACCCATTATCTTCTTTCTATCTTTACAATATCTGATTTGAGAATGCTTCAAACTATTTTCAGGTAATCCATTCTTATCACAGACATCTTTCTTCTTGATAAAACAAAATTCATCACAGTTAATGCAAATAAAAATTAAGTAATCTTGTTTCCAGTTTCATTCATGTTCCTTATATGACTTTTATTCCATTAGGTGGATATGTCTATGTCACTTCTTGTTTTTGACCTGATGCAGCAAAAACAATTGGACTGGATTTACTCTCAAATAGTTAGGTTAACACTCTTCACTGTTTGTTATTTACAAATCAGACACCAACTTCCGGCAACTGTAACCTGCATTTAAGCGAAAAAATTGGAAATTGTATGACATGCTCATCTTCTCCAGAAAATGGCACCTCTTCATCTATACCGCTACAGTGTGAATTTGGTGCACACCTCTCCTAGAAATGGAACAAACTCACCTGGAGAATGACCTATTTCCATGTAAGTATTCTTTAAATGGAATGATAAGTATTAGTTGCTGCCAAACATCTTCTCTGACACTATAAATGTACAATGAGACTTTGATCAGATGGGCCAATGGCCTGAGGAGCGGCAGACGGAATTTAATTTAGGTAAATGTGAAGTGTTGCATTTTGGAAAGACAAACCAGGTCAGGATTTATACAGTTAATAATAGGGCCCTGGGGAATGTTGCTGAACAAAGAGAACTTGGAATTCAGGTGCGTAGTTCCTTGGAAGTAGAGTCGCAATTAGACAGGGTGGTGAAGAAGGTGTTTAGCACGCTTGCC